AATCTAGGCCATCATTGAAAATTCCTCCGATGTCTGTTTTCTTAATCAATAAATAATCTGGAGTTCACTGTCTTCATTTTTTTTTTTTTTGGGGGGGGGGGGGTTTCTGGTTTGCCAAACGCACGAAGGAGTCAGTGGGTCAATTATCATCCCATACCGGCAAAAACTCGGCAGGCCTCAGCCAGGCTGCTAAACCGCTCAAGGTCTGCAGCTTCCAAGAAATCTTGGCGGTCGCGTTTCCGGAAAACCGCCTCTTCTACCGGGGTCCCTTGTTACGCTTCCGCTGGTCAAAATGTCAAGAATTTACCGGTAGAGAGAACAGGTGTTTTTTCTAAGGTGATTGTTATCATTCTTTTGTTGTTGACCTCTCTCGATTCTGCCAAGAGAGGATGACAGGTGTCGTTTTACCGACCGCACCCGGAGATGATCGTGATCCATGTTTTTTGTTGGTAATACTTCAGTGTGCAACTATCAGTGTTTTACTATCAGTGTTGTACTTTTAGCTGATAATGTTATGGTATGATTTTCCGTGTTTACTTTATACTACGTATATACTATCAGTGTAATGCTTCCATTCTAATTCTTTCATTGCAATATTGTCAGAGTGATGTGAATTGCTTCAAAGCAATACTTCGGTGAAATACTTTGTGTGTCATTTTCACTGTGTTGCCTTCAGTTGAATACTTTCGATGAAATACTTTCCTAATTCTTTCAGTGTAATACACGTGTACTCCCAGATCCTGTTGTATCGCGGGCCTAAAATTTTGATATGGGAGGAGGTAGGAGGAGGAGATATAACCCCATATACATGTACTCTTATATTTCTTCATAAACTGTCTTGTATTGGTTATGTTTATCAACTTGTTCTCAGTGAGTCTTGTAGTACCCTGTTCTTGCTTAATTTCAGTGTTAAATTGTGGGAAACCAAGGACAATTTTTTTATTTTTTTATTTTCTCAATAACATTTATTTCCATCAATTACAAAGTAAAAGCATCATGAGAACAAAAAGTAGTTAGGGCCTATATTAAGATGGAAGTGTGATTTAAAAAAAAACCAAAAAACAAAGCTTACAGGGGCGTATAAATGCAAAACTGTAAAAAAAAAAATATTTCAAAGAATTGAAACGAAAAAAAAAAATAGACAAACCAACAGGGAAGTACAAATGAAACACAAACAACTATAAGGACGGAATGACGAACATACAGAGAACAGGGGTCAAAAATTTACATAATAATGAGACTAAATAAATACTAGGCTCAAAACAGCTGGTCGGGACGGAGTTAGCAAAAGATACTAATAGTATCTTTTTTCTTACTCCGTCCCGAGCAGTATGCGAAAATAATAAGACACAAGATGGTTCTTGAAACTGATTTTGTATCGGAAAATTTAAAAGTGGTTAACTGTTGTTTCTAGAATGGAAATCACATGCATTATATACTGAACCATTGGGCACCATCATTTTACCGTAACAAAGTGGCGGTTATTCTGAGCATGATATGTGGCGCAATGCAGCAGCCATAAAGGCTGTGTCCCTTGAGTTTGCAGTGATCATACGTGTATGGCAAGGTGCCACTCTGTTTAAAAGTTAGGCCGAGTCCGTATCCCCCCCCCCCGTTAGCTACGGCTGGAAAAAAACACCACACGGTTCTCTGCAGACGCTTTCATAGGCGCGTGTGTATAATTTTCAGACAAGCCAAGTAATTCAGACACGGCCTTGTGATCAACTTCCTCATCTGTCCCGCTTTGTAGCTCCATTAACCACAATGGTGAGGGCGCTCTTCCTTTTCTGTGGACCATCACTCTGCAGATCTTCACGAAATTACTTGTAAAGCAGATTGGTTTTGGTTGTACTTGTTTAATGTGTTAAGATGCATTGCCATTTTCTCTCGGTATACATAACGAGAACACTCTTTAATTAATGAGAGAAAGAGTTAATACCTAATGCACTTTTTTTTCAATTCAAGTTATGCAAAATTGTAACATTCTCTTCTATTAGTTGCAGATTCCCTCCCCGTACCTTTGGGATACCTCGAAGTAACCCGTCAATCGATACGAATATTCAATGCTCCAATATTCAAACACCCGATTGACACCCAATCCTATCATCAACATAAAAATGTAATATTTCTTATCAGAACATTTTAGATTTTTTTTTTTTTTTTTTTAGGACTGACGATGTCATGATGTCGGAATAATGTCAAACCAACAGCCTTCAAATGAATGACCGTTTTTGTCAAAGGGCGCCCCCGTGCGATCTTTTTTGCTGTGCTTAGTCTGGTTCCCTGACCTGTCAATTCCTCGACACCCTGACATCTATATTGTTGGTCAGGCAGCCGCCACAAGGCTTAAAATAAACATGATGGCCCTTTTTCACAGTTTGGCTTCGTTTTCGGTTGGCTTTATCATGAGGAGCTATCAATGTTCCGATCAAATTAAAAATAAAGCATCATATCACTTGCTTCATTCTATACAGTTTGATATTTCTGTAAGAAAACATTGACTAATGTTGAGCTGGAATCTTTAAAATAAGGGACCCAAATAGCAGGCGAAGCCGAAATGGAGACGACGCCGAGTTTTGCAATAAGTAACGGTCAAGAGATACAAAATATTACATAACGGAGCAAAGCTCGCCCCTCGTACGATCTGAGTGCATACTTGATGCACAAAGTCGTCATTGAATTTCAAGTTTTTTTTTAAATGCAAGCAATGAATATTAATTATCAACTCATTTTAAAAAGATTTAATCTGGTAAATAAAACCCATTTTACACCCGGAATTACCCGGGCGCTATCTGAGAGTGTCGACGAAATGCATTCGGCAAACTTCGGACATTTTCGGAGATTGGTTACGTGCCGTGGCGGTTTCCTGAGATTCATCAAAGAAATAGTCAAAATCTTTTGGTCTGGGAACCAGACTATGCCGCGCAAAAAATGGTGAGTTGTCTGTAAATCTGGTGCAAGGGGCGCGTCAGCCAACAATGCCGGGAATTTTACAATATTGACGGCTTCTGGGTAATGGCAGTGACCCATGTTACATCAAGCAGTCGTGGATTGGGCGGGAAGACCATGTGATGATATGCCACCCTTGATTTTAAATTCAAATGCCATTTGCAAGGTCACTAAGTCCAAAATGGGGCTGGATTCCACGAAATAAGTCTTACGGACAAAGTGTTGCTTGTTAGGTTTTTCCCCGTGCAGCAGGGATCGCATAATTTGTTTTTTACAGTTATTATGTCAATTCAGTTGACGCCTAAGGATTCACATATTATGTAGGTGATGTGATTGAGTGTTCCTAAAGGCCTATTCATTGGCCTTTTACTCAGATTAGTAGCCCTGGCAAACTTGTGCCTCATTTTGTTGGGTTGGGTCAGTCTTATGGAATCGACTAGTATCCACATTGAACTGCATCTATTGGTTCAAGAGATCGATACATTAAGCACGTCCATCCAAATCATGAATTATCACGATGTCTTTGGCCCCGCCCACAAATATTATTTGACCCATTTCTACCATGATCGCGCTCCAAAGTAACTTTTTCACTGCCGTATGCCAAGTTCAAAGAGTTTTATTCTTAGTTTGGCGGGTTTTTTCCCTCCTTGTTTAGGATATGGAGCCTTTCCTGTGGAGCTAAAGCTGAACCAACTTGAGATTGTTTACAATAGATAATGATTATTATACGTGCAAGACAGTGATGAGACCCTGTGGTCTTATTTTACGCGACCCTGGACGCAGCCTTATTTCTTCCCCTTTCTGGTGGTTCTGGAGGAGATTTTAGGGGGAATTCCCTGGTTTCGATTATCTGCGGCTAGTCTTAAAATTTTATTGCCAACGGACGTGTTTTGTGTTTGACAAGAGCCGTTTGGCGTATTCCTTTCAGCAACAGGAAACTATCCTTGTGGAAAATTAACAAGTTTTTGTAAGTGATGAAGCCAGTTGTTTGAGTCAAGGACATACAGTGAATGCTGATTTTTTTCTTTGCAGGTTTTATCGAAAAGCATTAGAAAGAAGTGATGTTTGCTCAATCGTGTGAAGAAGCCGTGCAATATTGCGTACTTTTCTCTGTGATTCGGCTCGGCGTTGAACTTTGCTAAATAAAGGACATAAAATTAAAACGAGTTGGGGTTTAAATTTTCGTTTGTTAGATTGTTAGGAAAAGAGAAGACGACCAAACTGTTTGGAAGTTTGTTTCATGCCTTTATAGTCTTCCATAGATCACCAATTATTTAAAGGGAATCCTAGTTCCTTGTTCAAATGATTTAAATTAAAGCAAAAATAAATAACTTCCTGGGGTCCATATTTTTTGTATCTTGGGCATACAATTGCCCCCATGATTTGTTATACAGGAATGTGATTTTTTTGTCATCGTTTGTATTTTGATTATGCACAACGAAATGTCTTCAAAGTGGTATCATCTGTGGCTTTAGTTTGCTTATTTTTTTTTTTTAAATTCTAGCCTGTATTACAGAACCAACCCTATATCCACCCCTAATAAAAATAGATATCAACACGCAGTATTAAAGGGCCCATGTAAATAGAACACTTTACTACCATCCTTGAAAATGTACCATTGTGTCCCACTTATTGTCCCTTATTTTCAAACTCTATATTTTAATTTTCGAGGGTGTTTTGGTGTCTGTTTTTGGTGTTTAAATTTCCATATTCCTGAGTAACCCTGTGATGACATTTATAGCAGAAACTTTATACTGTTGAGCTTCTCCAGCACCAAAGGTTGTCAGACTCGTTGTTGTTGCATTTGGTAAATGTTCTGCTTTGCATGATTCATTGTGGTTTCAGTGTATACAATTCATGTCGCAACCCTTTGAGCAATGCTATAAATCTGATTTCGTCTATAAATACCGGTTGTTATTGTCAACGTCCTTTTTCCTGATTTCTAAGACAAAACAACAAATCACCCTGATTGTTTTCTTGTACGAGTTGACATTTCAAGGAAAGCCACGCACAGGAAAAACACAAAATAAAAAGTTCACAGAAGAAAGATAATGATGACGCTATGTCAGAAACGGATACAACTTTATTCTATTTAAATCTGTCGGGTTTTATTTTGACAATTTGACTAGAACAGTTACAGTGGAACAAAGACAACAATTCCTCAGCGGAAATCGAAGGAAGGTTCAGATGAATCAACATAAACTGTCCGTTTATTTGGAAGCACTTGACACACGAGTAGTTTGTTTTTCAGAACAACTGAGAGCCATTTTCAGCTTTGAATAGTTCATGAAAAAAAGAACCCTGCAGCAGAATTATTTGTTGAAGTTTATAGTTTGCTGGAGTTGTTTAATTTGATGCGGACCGGTATTTGACTAAAAGAAGTGTGTGTAGTTCGGCAACACATCATTTCCCTTTGCCAATTAGAAACCGTCTTTAACAACTGAATATCAGTTACCTTTTTAATATTTTACCATATAATTTTTCAGGGTGAGTTAAAAAGAAAGTGACCGAATTAGGAAAAAAAATATTTGGCTCGTTCTATTTCATAAAAACAACATAAGGATAAAACAGATGTTATTGAATAGTAACTGTGAAAATTGTAATCTTCACACAAAATCTAACAGCAAAAATAATGTTTCAGTCTTAAATCAGATGATTAAAATCCATTTGTACTTGGATGCTTGTGTGTAATCTGTACTTCTCACTCAGCCCGATAGATTCCATTGACATTCCATGGACAGCTTTAGCAATAGGTTATTTTAGTAAAACATGGATAACTTCTGATAGCATGGATCAATTTCAGTAATTTCTTTTTTAAGATGAGCGGAAGAACATGCTCGTTTAAGACACATTTCATTCGTGTATTACATTTGATTGCTTTTTAAGAAGAAGCATTTAATCCAGGTCACTTTCTTTTTGACTAACCCTGTACACTTATAAGTCAGTTGAAGCTCTGTGCTTGACACTTGACCGTTTGATTCTGCGATATCTATTTTTTCTTTAGCTATTACAAACAAATATATACGGCACAAATGGGTTAAGTAACAGGTTTAGCTGCGAAAAGTGATATGTTCTTCAACACATTAAGTAAGAGTTATCAGTCTTTATATACATCCCGTACACTTCTGTCAAAAGTCTAACATGTTGTACAATAATGTTATAGTTCTTTCTTTTTTTAAATATAAAAAGAATATTAACATTTAAGGGTTCGAGTTCTTTCCACAAAGCAAAAATATACCCATTAAAGTAACGCCACAAGATGAAATTAATTCGAGTCACGTGACGTTTTGAAGTCACGTGGCCATACATGTTTTTTCTCGACACATCAATGTTACCATCTTGGGTACATTCTGTACAAAATATGTTACAAATAATAAATTGAATTGTATTTTCTATCTTTTGTGATATAATTATACTTCTTATTTAATTAATTGTTTTAAGAGTAATTTGATCGATTGTATGGTTCGTAGTGGCATTGCTTTTTTAAAGTGAGGGTTCGAATGTGTTTCAATCAAAGCCACTTCCTCAAAAGAAAATTAAACATTTTGGAGTAACAGCATGTATGCTCACATTCCAAATGTGACTAAGGGTATATACTGTAAATTAAATATTTTAATAAAAGAAAATATGTATGTAGGTACTTCTGCTTTACGTTGGCGGTTATATAGGTCATTATTGCACAACAATGTTACTAATTATGGTGTAAAACTTCTGGAAGCTTACGCCACATAGTTATACTCAATAAAATAATGTAGTTCTATGCTTACTTTCTCCATTTTGTTTTTCAGAAAAGAAATTGGGTCTTTATATTAAAACCGAATTAATTTCACCGTATAAAACTTTTTTGTAATTATAACTTTGTTATATGATGTTGGATGCTTATTATATACACAGACTCTTTTTTAAAATTATAATAATAATACTTGAGAAGATTCTTAATCTGATATGTCATTAATAATCCATTCTTGCATGTATCTGTGTATGAAAAAATCATTGAAATGATCCCTATTCTGAGTACAAGTTCTGATTGGCGGTAAGCTAAAATAAAGTCCTTTTGCAATTTTACAAAGCCTGAACATAAAACAATTTATTAATTTAGAAAAAAAATACTATTTGTGTTCTGCTTAATAAAGACATTATAATGCATAAAACCTCAAAAATAATAGTAGATATTGATAATAAAAAACTTGAAGCTGATAGTGGTATCGTCCTTGGCCAGATTTCAGTTATTGGACTCTCTTAATAAAATTTTGTTTTTACCGCAGCACTCTCGTCCGCAGAATGAAAAGAAAGTAACTATAAGTGTTTCGTTTTATTGACCTAACATTTTTCAAAGGTGTGGCTCTCTGGAACTCAACAACATTTCTTCTGCTTGATTTTTGAGGACCAAAATTAGCACCCTGAAATCATGCATATGTTTTCAATGGATAGTTGTACTGACGTTGTTATTCTACTTTTAATCAATATTTCCAATTATTATTATTTCGTGAAAAACGCATTTAAGAGAACACGTTCAGGACGAAAATGTCCTTTTGATTGTTTGTGCACGATTAATACATGATCAAAACCAATCCGGGCAATTTTGGCAGAAAAAAAAAAACTGTTTATTACTGGATGAAATCGGGACAGAATTTGTAGTGCAGTTTTCGTTTCACGCGCTCCATTATCCTCGTCTTGCCGCGCGTGTAGTTGCGCAGCGCGCGCGCCATGTTCTGATACGTCATCTGCTCGCGGTTGCCCTTGTAACGCCCCCACATCTCGGCGAATTCCTCCTTGCGAGCCGAGTGGAAGCGGAAGATGCCATTCTGTTTGCTGACCCACTCCAACTTGTCCCGCATGGTGGGATTGTTCAAGTGACACAGAATGAACTTGTACAGGATAGGCTGGCTGCGTTCTGTGGAAAGAGGAAAACATTCAATGGAACCTCTAGTGCATTAACCACTGCGGGGTGTTTTTTTTTGGAATCGTTCGTTGTTCTTGGGACCAATGGTTCTTCTCCGACGATCTGCTAGCCTCTCTCCGACGGGCTGCTAGCCTCTCTCCGATGGTCTGCCGGCCTCTCTGGGAATAGTGGGTCTGTTTCAGAATCATGGTTCTTATCGGAACCTTAGCGACTTAATTCTCAGTACCCTGGATTCTGAGAATTATTGGTTTCGGAACCTTAGTTTCTTCTCAGTACCCTGGATTCTTAGAATCATTGGTCCTTCTCGAAAGCATGAGTTCTTTTCAGAAATCTGGGAACTGTGGATTAGCGGAACCATGGGTGCTTCGCGGGACTATGGGTTCTTCGTGGATCCGTGTGTTCTTCTCAAAACGGTGAAATATTCTAGGATATTTAAGTTATTTTCTCTTTTTCACTGCATGGTATTTTTTCAGAGCTCGTTTGGCTCGTTCGGAATAATCAAGTGACGGAGGTATAGCACTTACTTTGTTTGGGAGGTTTGGGCTTCCGTGGCCGGCCTCGTCGTCTCTTTGCCCTCATGACTGCCGGCGGCCCACTGCCGTCAGACTCCGGCTCGATGAAGAGCGTCGAAGCGTGTACCTCGTCGTAGTGCGGGTACCACGGTAGAGTAGTTGACGACACCTCGCTTAGGGGCAGGCTTCGCGAGCGGCTAGCGTCCAGGTCGTGTGACACGAAGTCGTCACTCAGTGGTGGAGAGAGTGGCGGGCTGCTCATGTTGGAGCCATTATAGTCGGTTTTCATGAAAGGCTAGGAAGAGGGAAGGAGAAAATCTCAGAAATTCATGACAGTGATATTGCTATAGTAGTAACGTTTTGCCAACATTTATTTGTTTCTATTTTGAGGCACAGATGACATTGAATTTTACTGAGTTTTCAAGCAACTCTGATTGGCTGTCTTGTATAAACGTAAAGAAGAAGTTGTAGTTGATGAACTAGTGAGGATCCAGTGAATAAACACAAAATTGGACCATCGCAGATTTTGCAGAATATTCAAGAATTAAAAAGGGATAGCATGAAATAGAATAGTGATCACCGTGTTACAAAACTCCCCCTAAGGATTGACGACGCAGTAGAAATAATCATATAATTGTCATAACGCTTTCGCAACTCTGTAAAATCTTTTCGAATGAAATGTGCAAACATCGAAACGGATTACACGTAGCTTGGTCAATGGCGAGAGCTGGAACCGGCTCTAGTTTGCCATTACTACGCGATGGTGTTTGATGGAGAGCTGAAAATCCAGACACGGGCACTTCTCGGTTTCGTTCGCGCAATTCAAAACATGATTACACACTTTCGGTTTATAGGCTACTTGTAGCTTTAAATTTCAGTAGCCGTGGAATCTGGTAAATTTTGATAATTGTAGAGCAGTTTGAGACTGTAAAACTCTGAATCCACGTGCATGATGTTTAGATGATATTCCTAGTCTTTGACAAGACTGACCGCTTGGATGATCAGGTCTAGTTTCAGCAGTCTGTGTGGAGTAGGCCTACACGTAATTTCTTTGCTTCACATAATCTGACGATGGTTCGAGTCCCAACTGGTGCACAATGTTCAGTTGTATTTTCGATTTCAGTTGGTTTTCTTGTTGGTGTTGTTGTTGTTGCTGCTGCTACTGTTGTTGTTGGAAGGAGTAGTGTTTTGAGTACAAACATCAGGTTTTTAACCTAGTTACCCCATAATGACCTTTGATGGTCAGTGGAGACCCATTATAGTGACACAAAAGCGGGCCAGGGCATGAGGGACTAAGTGGATATATACCCTTTGTCAGGGCCAGAGGGACGAGTCGATATATAGCCATGCGAGGCTGTCACTGCATGGAACTTTGTTACTAACTAACTAACTAACGGAGAGACACGACGATTTGTTGAGCTGCTGTCCGCAGCTAAAAATACCAAGGGTAGATCGGTGGGGGGGGGGGCTACAAATGGGGAGAAATCCCAAATTTCCTTAAGTTCCATGAATAACGTCATCACTCAGTAAATTGCAAATCTTGATTCATTGCCGCAGGTCTTTGTTATTTTCAAGCGTTGATTGCAAGCTGCAACCCCTTTGAAAATCTCGGACCTTTACATCCCAGCTCCTCCTTTTTTTCGGATAATCTTGATTGCATGCATGGAATCCAGGCTTCATTATAAAACTACATTGATGTTGAATGTTATCCAGGGCAGTTGGGTCATTGCCAGGAACACACAATCTAACTTCAGCTGTATGTTAATTAGAGACCGCAAACCTTGACACGATTTTTGTTAGTTTTCGTTTTCACGTCTAAAAAATGGGGTAATTGCTTACCCCGGTAAACTTGCTATGCCATAACACAATAGACGTAGCCTAAGCATAAAAAAATGACGATTAATTAAAAGTGCAGTTAATTGTGTTGGCGACTGGAGTTTCGTTTTTCCACAGTGCGACAGCAGATAACGCCCGCTGGCCTTGGTTTTGCGCTGACTTCTTTCCGTTCTGGTGGTTTTTGGTTTTCGCAAAATAGGGAACTTCTGGCGAAAAAATCACAAGATATTTCCGCCGCGCGAGCTTTATTCAGCACAGTTGTGGCCAATACGAGGGGCGATGGTGAGCCTGTGTAAGGTTTACTTAATTACTCGTTTGGACTTTTAAATAGAAGACCTATTGGTGTTCGGTATCACTGAGTTCATGCTGTAATAACAATGCCGATTACAGATGTCCGGACTTCGTGGCAAAGTACTTTGTAGATTAAAGCCAGCAATATTTAACCATATAAAATAATCGAACTTGACCACATAGAGAAAGATGTGGAACTCCTTTCCACACCATTTAAGGAGCTTACGTGCACCAATGAAGGAGAGTTCAAGGAGAGTTCAAGCGTGCAATTAGGACGTATCTTTCTAATCAAGTCTATGATTAGTGATCCTCTGCTTGTCTTTGTACGTTCTAGTAATTAGTTGCTTTAGTGATTTCTGTGTAATTGTGTTTTTTTTTATCTTATCAGTGTTTGTATATATTTTTTTATTATTATTGTAATGTACAACGCTTTTAAATAGAAACGGCGCTCAATAATTTTAGTAAATGTGAAATGTTAGGCCTAAATGCTATCCTGTGGACGTTGGATTATTGGCAGTCATTTTCACGTGGTATGGGCACGTGATACTAAAGTGCACTTGTGGAAGTCCCCTTTTAATGGCGAATGCATTGTGCTAGCTACTGTTCCTACGGTTATCCTGAAGAATAGCTGGTACAGTACCAGGCGCGTTTCTAGAACCAATATTGGGGGGGGGGGCCTAGCAGAATTTTTTTTTTTACGGAATTTATTTTGGGGGGCTAGACAAAATTTTGGCTACAGCCCCCCCCCAGCCCCCCCCCCCCCGTAGAACCGCGCCTGTACAGTACTTTCCCCATTGGAGAGGGCCTCCGTGATAAACGGATAACGTGCCTGGATTGGGCTATGTGCTATCCAGCTGTATTGCAGTGGTCATGTACACTTATGTAAAGCAAGTCCAGAAATGCATAATGATGTGAAAGGCAAGGTTCATACTCTTCAAAGCACCTACTACTAAATCTTAGAACCTTTCGTGAAGAAGATTAAAGCAGACAGATCGAAACGTTGGATTCGAATGACCACTGCTTCCTCTGAAACCTACAATCCTGCTTCTCACAAGACATAGTTTCTGCGTATTTTATGGCTAGACGTGATAACGCTTGCACACATGCACATTTACTCTAAGCAATATTTCGCAACAGAAAGCTTGACTTTTATAGCTGTGCTTACTGCTTATGCTCTTCATGAGTGCATGGACGAAAGACTCAGCAAACTATTTTGCTAGCCTTCATTATTTGTGCAATGTGGACCTTACTAAAGTTGATGCCAGCAACTGAGTACCTCCTTAATAACTTAGCGAACACCTCCCCCCCCCCAAAAAAAAATAAATAATAAACATCGAGAAACAAGTGTGAGTGCACAATAAACTCTGGCCGTGTTGCAAGAAGTCTTGCATGAAAGTCTTGCATGAAATCGATCAAAATGATCCCTGTCAGAACTTTAAAAAAATGCGACGCCGAAAAATGCAGCGCCGACGGCACATATGGAACACTTTGCTTTGGGTCATTTTTTTTTTGGGGGGGGGGGGACAGACAGACATGAAGACCGACCACAAAGTGACATGTAGAAGCTCCTGCCAGAGAGCTTAGGAAAAAAAGTGTACAATATAAAACGAACTATAAAACTGTCATCAGATGTGGCTACAAAACTCCGGCTTTCTGTGGAATTTATGTTCAACAGCGTGCAGCTCAATATCAGTCAAAATAATTATTTTATATCCAGCATTAATGAGCGCAAGGCAAGTAAGACCATCAGCCTGGGGTTTTGGTCGGTATCAAATGAGGAGAATAATGCTCATTGTGATTTTTGGCAAGGTATGCACCCCTGTAGGAAAAAAATATCTGATAGCATTGCAGTGGTGCCAGCTTTTTGGGTGCTATCACTTTTTTTTACAAAAATGGCGGCCATAACATGCTTGTTACCACATACATTTGTATCATTAATCCGGTCACAAGCATATTGGCGGCCATTTTGAAGGAAAAACAAGTGATAACACCCAAGAAAAATGCCACCGCTCACACCGCAAAGCTATCACACATTTTCCAACTCTAGATGTGCATTACCTTGCCAAAAATCGCTATGAGCATTGCTCCTTTCGATCATTTGATACCGGTGGCTCAATTTTTGGACCGAAGCTGATAGCCTGAAGTTGATGAGGTCATGCGGTGCGATTCGGCGGTCTCTCGGCTGCATGCAGTGATCGCGTGGCTTCCGACGCATGTGAGGAGAGAACGCGGCCGACCTCATGCTAGATTGAAAATGCACACTGCATGACTGCAAATCTGGTCAATTAGATTTCCAAGACAGGTTTCAAGATCTACATCAACCAGCAAGTTTTGTTGGTTTGTTGGGTTTGTTTTAAGTTTGAAGATTGTAAACTTACCAAATGGTCCACCATTGTATCGAACAGTCGGTGTTTGATGCCCTGTAGTCGGTTGATATCCTTCTGCACGTCAAACAACGTATCTTGTATCTCCAGACTTTCAGGAGAGACTGGAGGGGGAGGGAGGATAAAACTGTGTCTTCAAAAAATGTCTTAGATCAACTTTGCGTCGGGGAGATGTGAAATTTGGGGGTTTGCCCTTCGCCGGTGAATTTGTAAACTCTGACAGGAGCTTGTACATGTCACTTGGTGGTCGGTCAGTCTGCGTTGCCCCGATTGTATATGGTGTTCCATATGTACCATCGGCGTCGCATTTTTAGGCGTCGCATTTTTAAGCTCCGACAGGGATCATGTTGATCGATGTTATTCAAGACTTTCATGCAAGACTTTTTGCAACGTCAGCCTCGCTTGAGTCTAACACGGCCAGAGATTAATGTTTACTCGCACTTGTTTTTTTAATAAACACTGTAAATACTCAGTGATTCCCAAGGGCTTGTGAGAAGGAAAAAAAAAAACATTGACAAGCTTACTCGGGTGAAACTTGAACCCACGACCTCCAGCTTACTTGTGCACTTTTAGTGCAGACGTCTTACCACTCGACCACCTAGCTTTCTTGGTTCGGCTGAAGGGCAAGACCCAATATAAAAGTCTGGAAGGATAGCCTATTAGTCTTTAAAAACCAAATATCAAAGGAATTTTATGTGGTACAACAAAATTAGTTTTACTTTATTTTGCCATAATTGTTACATGCCCTTGTGTTTCAGGAGATACAGTAACATGTTATTCACACACACACACACATCCCTATGTGAATTGTTTTCGTTTTGCTGAAAGAACGCACACCTTTTTTTTGTGATCCGTGAACAGAACTATAAAACGATGATTGTGTTTAAAATTCCGTAACTTGAAAAGTACATGATTGATTTGAATGATTCTTATTCTAAAAGAAAGCTTATGAATTGAGCTTTTGTATCCTAGATTTTGAAAGTGCTACATGCAGAACTTCACTAAAATAATGGTCCCGACATTTGGGTTTCGATTTTTTTTTTTACTCACGTTGTACAGTCAATAAACACCGAAATACATTGTAAATGGTATTATGTTTTGCTAAGCCGGTTTTCTGCCTTCAGCAACTTTGTGTCTGCCGTATCAAATTTGTGCAGGATCGAATTAGTTCGCCTACAATTTTCAAAATAGTTCAAGGGTACTGGTGTAGTGAAACTTACAACTTAGTAGTGAAACAGGCCAAGTCCATGACAAATATTTGTCTACCTCTCCTTGTTAAAACAATGTGGTTTTAGCTCAGATTGGATTTGGGTTAACACAAAATAGTGTCGCAACTTCCTCGGTAAAAAAACAACAACGAAAATAAAAGTTTGGATAATATTAAACAGTTTTAAGTATTTTGTTCTACAACTGTCCACACTGATTGTATCTAGATCGATTTTGAGTGTAACATCTTGGTTTCTTAATATTTTGAGGACTAGTTTAGTTTAACGTACCATTAAGCCATCTTGTGAAGTTTTCGTGAATCAAATCTCCGTCCGGACCGAAGAAATTGCAAAAGTCCTCCATTGTCCATTTTGCGAGCGTGCTGCCGTTCAACTGGCAGTACTGTAATTTAGACTCCAGGTCGTCGGCAAGGCCGACGTCAAGTTCCACAGAAATCCACGTGAGCCAGGAGGTTACGTGTTTAACCGTCCATTCGCGCGGATCTGAAAATTGCAACAGGAAATTGAAAAGGAGAAAACGCATGTTTAAATCCTAGATCCAAGTCAATGAAGTTACGCCACGCCTACGCGCGCGTGTAAAACCCTATTTGGGGAGCGCCGAGTGCGTTCGCGTGTACCACGTGCGAGCATGTCACGTGCGCTCGTACCATCTTGGTGAACGAGGCGCTACCGCGCGCAATGAAGGATGTTAATTTTAATTGTTGGATATTTTCGATCAGTTTCCCCAAACTCTCTGGGTTGTGGGTTGTATATTCGATCTTCGGATTTTTACAGATAGTTGATGAATGGGAGGGGGGGGGGCAGAAAAAGAAAACAAACTTCATACAAAATAATAAAGAAAACCATAAGTTATTGTGTGTTTTTTCAAACTCACCCGGTGGGAGTCCAAATTCGATTCTGGTATCCACTTTGCTCCCCTGTATTAAACGTTCTTTATCAGTTTCCAGAATGAAATTCAGTATCGATTCCGGACATGCAGGTTCCTATAACAAAATCACAATAAAAAAAAACGACTGAAGAAAGTATCGATTACCTGCCCCTTGCTCTTGCATGTTACCTGTTTCGAGACAAAGTATTGGCCAAACATCTTGAATATCGAGCAACCTTTAATCACATGCTGACCACCGCCCCCTCTCCACCCCATACACACAAATACAAACAGTCAGAGACGTTAAAACCATGTAATTGTTGCCCTGACAAAGAGAGTACGTGCCCACTTTATGGGCGTGGCTAACGTCCAGTTTGGAATGTATACTATACTTTCTACAATCACATGTGCGTTATGGATGTTTCAAGTGTTGTTGTAAAGAACCCGTAACAAAAATACCTCTTTTCTCCCTCTCTTTTCATTTGGACCACATGCAGTGCAGCAAGATCCCTTCAGAAAACGAAAGTTTACTTTTAATGTTGGATATTTTAAGACGAGAGAGTCACACCCTTATTAGATATAATGTGTGGCTGCTGATAATGGAATTCAATACGACCGACAATTACATAGAAAGCTACAAAAATATATCGTGTGGGCCTGAATAAGGAAGGAGGAAGTAATTTGAGCCATGAGTGTTATTTTTGTTACAGAAAGATGACTAATTTAATTAACTTGGAGGAAAGAAATCTGCGGGATGTTTTACTCCTGTTGGAAGCCGTCTTAAAAAAAAACAGCCCGAGAGCAAATAATGTATAAAGATTTTTTTTAATTCAAAAATGTTAAAGGAGGTCAATTCTAGAGTCGATATGCCGTTGAGATATTTCAGGTTGAGTGAGAGACAGGGGCAAGACGATTTGGGCGTAGACAGTTTAGCGAAAGAAGGCAGGGAACCAGACCATCGGGGTGACTCTGACAACTGTGTCTTCATGTTGACATGGTTAAAATAACAATTAATACAGTAAAGTAGATTACTCGGGGACACAACCAAATCAGCTGCTTGAGCACAGAGGGTCACGAACAAAATCTGCTAGTCTTTGTACCACGCCCTGCACCACACAGCTCTGTTGCTATATCTAATTTAACTCAGACCCAAAATTGGTAAGACGTCGTAATTCATCAAAAATGATTATTACAAGCTTCTACTGACGAAATCACATCGCACAAGTATGACGCGTGTTCCAGAGTCGTGATTGTCAACAATTACCAGATATATCTGCGCGGATATTTTATGGCACTTCTTGTTTAATTTGGAGCTACTTCTTCCTTCTGCGGACTCGTACTGCCGTTTAAAGCATTTTTAAAATTCAAATCTAGATTTTGGCTGAGAAATTCTGTGAAAAATTATATAGCAAACTATTAACCATGTTTTCTTTCTGTCAGCTTTGTCACGGCAGCACTGTGGGCGCTGTATTATGTACACACGGTTTTATCTCAAAATTCCACACTAGTATTAGGGAAAACCAGGAAAACTAACTATAAGCCTATATCACTCTTCAAATTAAAGCAAAAAAAACCCAGTTTAGAATCTTTTGTTGGGTCTCCCGTTCAAATGATACAGACTTTCGATCTGATGTAGACTTTCTTTGTTCGATGTAATAATATGTACACAAACTGCAGGTGAATTGTAAAAGATCAAACATGGGACTTTATTTTCATCAGGTATCGGTTTTCGGGGAGAATCCGGGTTTGATTGTAAAAGCTGTTGATACAGTAGTTGATAATTAAACGATAGAGCAAAACCAGGGAGTAAGGATTTGGAAATTTAGATAAGAGTACTAGACTTATGAAAGGGAGTAAGGATTTTTATGTGTGTGACATCGAGCTAGTATCGCTCTGGATGCACAGAACGATCCTGATCTGATCACTAGCCCCGGCTATCTTTGGTCTGTGTACATTTCCAAATTTACCGAGCTGCCGTGGTCGATTTGTGGGTTTATTTATTTCAATTATTTATTTCTGATCTTTCATTAGGGTAGCCCGTTGACATATAATTTTGTTTTTCACGGGGCCTGGGCATATAATTATAAATTAATGAAACAAAAACTAGCAATTTCAAGGATTAAGAATGTATTAAAAAATCCAAACAAATAAGATCATTTAAAATCATAACCGAATATCATTAAATAAAACGAGACAAACAGGTATGCAACATATACTATATAAATGTATATGTGAAACAGACAATAGACCAAAGTGCAGATTAAGAGGTTGATTGATCGATGCACGATCGATTGACAGAAAGGAATCATGGCGCCCCCCCCCCTTTTTTTGAAGGGGGGATTTCTTGGGGGTTTCGAACCGGCGTAGTCCCATTTAACTATCACTGTGCGTTTGTTTTTTTGTTTTTTTTTGGTCTGTCTAAATTAAAAAGAGTGAAGTTTCATTGATATTATCACCCACTGAAAGTACGGACAAGACGATTTAGAGCGAAAGAATACTCTGTTCGATCGAAAAGCTGAATAACCACATTTCCGGAGTATGACATTTTAATCAAGCTTTTCGATTGCATACATTTTACTCTGAACGTCAGTTTCACACGCTGGAAAGAGTGAATTTTACTATTTGAAAATAAGGGGGTAACTTTTAGAAGTAATTTAGTATATGTCTTAATTCCTACATTTTTTCATAAATAAAATGGACGGTTCAATTTACAAATTGTAAAACGACGTTCTGTCAAAAATTAGCCGGGAAATATTGAAGCCCAAAAGCTTTTGTTTTACCTTCATGTGTCCGAGCTCCACTACTTGGTGGTGTTCGTCGGGAAAATCATTTGAGTACAGAGATGATCCCTCGATGACACTCACGAGTCCCGTTTGGTAGAAATGGCCAAGCGATGTCTCCATCTTGACTGCAATGTCAACTTATATCGGCGGGATCTGAATTGAAAAAAAAAAAGATCAGAGTTATAACTTGTCCAAAAAGGAGTATAATTCACAAAGTAACACAAAGACTGTTGCTGGTCCATGAGTGTTAGCCACATTCCTCTTTGTATCTGACTGATGACTGGTTGACTGTCACTTGTTAATGAGACTTGCTTCAGCCTTACCTTTGGCAAACCAAATTGATTCAGATTACTACTACAGGTTGAGAAAAAAAAGGAAACCCAAATGTGGGGACTTTTGTTTTAGTGAAGTTCTGCATGTAGCACTTTCTTTAGGATATGAAAGCCCTATTCATGAGCTTTCTGTTAGTACAAGAATCATTCAACACTCATGCACTTTTCAAGTTACGGAATTTTAAACACAACCACAGTTTTAAAGTCATGTCTACGGATCACCAAAAAAAAACCCGAAAACAATTCACACGCATTCGGTTGAAAGAACACTTATTTTTTGAGATCCGTGGACAGAACTTTAAAACGGTGGTTGTGATTTGAATGATTCTTATACTAAAAGAAAGCTTATGAATTGGTCTTTCATATCCTAGATTTTGAAAGCGCCTTATGCAGAACTTCACTAAAAACAAAATGGTCCCGACATTTGGGTTTCCTTTCTTTTTTACTCACCCTGTATAACTCTTGGACCAAATTAGCTTTGGACCAGCTTTACTGGTTTTGCCTGGTTTTGTTTAAATAAGGGAATACATTTGTGCTTGGCCGGGGGACGCGCATAATGGCCCGAGCTGAACAGTATCGCCGACCAGGCCCTCAGCCAAGTTCAAACTTACTTGTTTAAAACCGGCCAAGCACATATTTATTCCCATTCAGATTGAGACACCTTTCAGGCAAAAACCAAACCAAAAAAGTCAACAAGCCACAAATTGTCAACGATTTTTTTACAATTTTACTTCATGTTTTTGTTAAACACCCCTCTGGCCTTGTCTATAGTATATGCCTCGCGCGCGCAGTGCTAAAATGTCCTGAATGGAAATTGAACGCAGCGGTGTTTTATCGGCGGTTTAAAACCACCCACGTGACGGGCTCTCGACCAATAGGAATTGGTAAACTGTCTCAGGTATTTATTAATAGGGCCGTGTCAGAAACGGGCTTTCAGAGCTACGGTTATGTCTATTGTCAGCGCAGCGCGTCCCCGCGTATTTTCATTGGGGCTAGACTGTTTAAGTAAACTGGGCTTTCTGATCTCATCTTCATGTAAACAGATTATTTATTCATGCACTAATTTCCTCATGTTTTCCCTTTCGTCTGTTTTCGGACTGTAGTTTATTTTTGTAGAACCGTCACATCTGTTTACAAATTTCGGTCACAGTGTTGCCGTATTTTCTGCAAGCTGTTACATTCTACACTGTATGTATTTCTCGTCAAAATGCGGGAAGTTGAAATGTGTTGATATTTATTGCTTATGTTGGTAAAATAACAGTTAGTTGCTTAGAATTTTGTAAATTTTGCTCGTCGGCATGGCGTCACAGGTGACGCGGACTGATTTGCTCTTGTTCCTTAACTGCCCTACTTTATCTAATTGCATAGTTTCTTTGGTGTAGGTTTGCTTGTTTCGTGGCTAAGCTCTTCGAGGAGTGGGCCTATTATTCACAATACAAGGTGAGTAAAAAAAAACCGAAACCCAAATGGCAGGACCAATTTAAAGTTGTGCCTGTAGCACTTTCAAAATCCAGGATATGAAAGCCCAGTCAGTAAGCTTCTTTTTAGTACAAAAATCATTTAAATCATGCATGTACTTTTCAAGGTACCGAATTTTGAACACAAACACCGTTTTAGAGTTCTGTACACGGATCACAAAAAAAGTAAGTGTTCTTTCAGCAAAACGAAAACAATTCTCATAGGGATGCATGTAAATTGTTTTCGTTTTTGCTGAAAGAACACTTACCTTTTTTTCTTGAAAAGAACATGAGTAATTTGACTGATTCTTGTACTTAAAGAAAACTCATTGTTTGGGCTTTCATATCCTAGATTTTGAAAGTGCTACAGACAAAACTTCATTCAAAAATTGGTCCCGTCATTTTTTTTTTTCTCCGACCCCCTGTATATATACAGGAGAATAAAACAAAAACAAAACCCCCAAAATGACAGGAAGGGTACAATAAAGTTGTGAGTGGGGGGTAGGGCCTACACAATTGAATTAATATCTTCTCTGAAGAGGTGTGGTTCTTAAAAGAATGGATGGTGAGAGTTGTTACCAACGTTTAAGATAGTACTCTGTTCTTATGAAAAATAGTCACTGTTCAAAGGTATTATCTTTGAAACTATTAACAACGACTTCAGTTCTATTAAAATGTACATTATCCCTAACATTGCACAGAATTGCGATTTCTTACTAGAAAAATATTTGTCTTTTGGTCAACCAAGCATGGCACATGGTAAGATTTTTGCGTCATTAGAAATTGGCAACTGGGTACAGAATATAATGCAACATTGGGGAAAGTTGCCCAGCAAACAAACAATTCAATGCAAGGGTTTTACTATCGATTTGTCGCAGCCCAAAGGCTGAATTGTGAATGATTTACAACAAAGTACAAATATAACAAAACATTTGAATTACTTCATTCAAAAAATGAATCGTCATAACAAATTAAATGGTGAAGAAATTGTGTCAAAGATAAGTTGTTAAAATGTCGGAATTTTGACTTTGAACAGAAGAGCCTGCGAAAGCGACCGCAAGGCGCTGCATGCACAGCACTCTTCATACAAATAAACAAACAAACCAACAAACGCAACACAACAATTGAAGCATCCATTTAGGTTGACCAAAACCAGAAACACAGCTGGCAATTTTGAAACTAAATTTAGTTCCACTCTTGCAAAAATGGGCTTAGTTATGCCAGCTACTGACAACAAATCCGTGAGTTTTCATTCCGTTTTATGGTAGCTTAGAGCTCTGAATTTTTGTGTGTGATCTGTATGGACAATGAACCCTGTGACACAGTAAAAGCTTTATAAAATTGAACCTAGGAAAACGAAGCACTGCATGGCCTTACACCCACCCATTTTTGTGATCATTCATGCGTGAAGGGAATATATTTTGGCAAGCACGTAGGCAAGTACTGTGAATGTAAATGATACAGACTTGCCATGAAAAATAAATTGAGTACTGTTGCTTAAGTGAGATGGGAATGTTGTAAATTCAAATCTGTCTTGCGGTGCGAATTCAAAGATGAAATTGACACTTTACTTGATATGGCAAGGAACTTTTGGTTCAAGATACTGTATAGGAGGAATATCCTCATTGTTGTGGAAAAATTGTATATAATACGTGCAAGGCAAACGTATATCAATGTAGTCTAACAGTTGGCTCAATTTTTGTTAGTATTTCACTTTCATTGAATTGATTAGTTATTCTGCAATTTTCTGTTTAGATTCTAAACACACATATATTGACACAGGCTCAGGAAAGATCTCAAGAAGGCGAGATAACAAACAAAGAGGGCATTTCCTCTCGTTATACAGAGAAGACAAAATGAGTGATAGTTAATTAATTTAAACTTACGAGAGTAGTCCTGGGCTTCTGACGGACCACTATAGCGAGGACACCTTGAGGTTTCCGTGGGGCGAGAACGCACGGCGGCCCGCTGTCAAGTTAGCTCCAGTCACGCTGAGTGTGTGTGTCTCCTCCCAAAACTCCGGAGTTTATTATGATCCTGGAGCTGGGCCATCAAGATGTAATCTGATTCAACAACTCTGTGCCAGGACTCACCCTAGCTTGGGTTTTATCCTCACGAGCAACAAGTCACAGCATCCGTGCGTACAAGAAAACTACCAGGTTAGAAAAACAGCACAGACCCGGAAATAGTTTTCTTTTTTTTCTGAAACCAGATTTCTATTATTTCTCCTTCATCGCTGCACCCAAGTCAACATCGGTGCAGGAAGGCGAGTACGAAACTCCTTTTGTGATTGGTGGACTTTGTCCACGTGTCAGTGAACCAAGAGCCGGTGATTGGTTGAATTGTTGCCCTTGTGTTGCAACAGCGGGATCGATTCGTCAGAGGGTTTTCCCCTGAAGGATTTCGCCCCGGTTTTGAGTCTTTTGTCAATGGTCATTTGAGTGTGACGCCTTTAGTATTTTGGGAGCCTGGTACTAAGCTCTATCGCACGATGAGATCATAATGGTACCGTTGTGAATAACACGTGGAAAAAACAGGGAATTTTCATTCAGTCGTTGAAAAGTTTTCCGTCGGACGATAAGTCATTCGTTTGCCCTAATATGAACATTAAGCCCTTTTATGATATTGATCACACGCCCCTATACATTGATTCTGTTATTAGATTTGGTAGGTAGTTGAAAGTGCATTAGCGCACTTTACGCTGGATTTCAATATACAATAAACTTTAGCTAAAAATACAAACCATACAAATGAGTGAATTATAAAAAAAAAGTAAACATTTAAAACAAAGAAGCTAAAACATAAATAGGATTTAAAAGGAGAAGTCATAAACAATAATACAGGTTGTAAGAATAGGGATAGTAAACAGTTTATGATAAGGAGCATATTAACATTTGGGTCTGCATGCTTCCGAGCAACAGTGATTAGATTCGCTTTTGCGGTCCCTGACCCACATAATCGTTTTCTTTGTGATTTTTTGTGTCTTACTGGTTATTGTTCAACTCCCAATTGGGAAGCCCACCCCAGCTGTCATTTAAAGTGCATGCCCTCTACTTCATGATTTTTTAATAATTTATATTTTAATTTAAATTTAAATAACATGTTTATACGTTTCTTTTGTTGTGCGTTTTCAACCACTTTTGTGTAATTTTTGTTTGGTTTTGTATCACTGTTTGTAATTCTTTGTTGAGGCCGAATAAATAATAATAATAATAATAATAATAATAATACATCCCGAAAATAGTTAACTGAACAACAGACATGTTGATTAAAAAGACACCGTGGAATAAGACAATTCTTAAACCTATTTGTGTGGTTCCAAGAGACCCGCACAAAAAAACTTTGTAATGTGTTCTGGTTATTCGAAAAGTTCAGAAATTTCATGGAGATTGTATTTTCAGGGCATCGGCAGAAGATTTTCTGTAATAGGAACTCAAACAACATTGCGGAGTTCGGTTTGATTTTGGAATGTAATTTTCAGGTTTGGTGTTTCTCTATTCACCCAATATGGTACGACTCAAACCGGAGCTATAATTCACTTGTTTGTAACATTGGAATGTGTGTGCGGGTAGTTTTGAAGACACGCCGTGATAAATAATAAGTGACGATCTGCAAGAGAGGTATAAGACTTTCTTCCATGAATATTCGTTAAAAATGTACACTGTTATGCACTTGTAAGCAAAACACTTTCATGTTAGCAGCATTAAACCACATTCGGTCCTAATTCCTGTGATTTTTTACGCCTGTTATTTAATTTTTTCTCGTCCATTTGTTAAAATATATATATATATAGATTTTTAAAGGAAACTCTACATTTTGATCATGGGAAATTGATCCTATGTTGAAGTTGCCAACTGGCCTGTTGCCAAAGAAAGTAATCTTTCGATAATTCAATTATGATCAGCGGTCAGGTGCAATGAGGTAATTAATTTCGAGAGTGTTGTTAAAGCGTGCATAATTAAAACACACGACATAACGTTTTTACAAACTTGATATTTCATTCAGAATTTGTGACACTTATTTTCTATCAGAAAAGGCTTATTCTTTTTTTTTCTTCTAATAGAGAGTTCTTAGATTATTACGTGCAATGCAATTCACTCCTGTGCTTTGTGCAACAGCAAGATTTCAATTTGATGCAAACACTGGACACAACATTGTTCAAATATTGGGTGAAACTGGATTGGAAACAGGGCCACGCTTAGAAAACAACTTATCAAGGTGAGATCCACAACCAGTGTGATTTGCATCTGGATTACAAAATTGTGTTGTTTTTCAGAGGATTTTTTTTTGGGGGGGGGTGGGGGGAAATGAGACGGGACTGGGCACAGGCAGCTGTGGAGAAAAATGAAACAAAATGGGTGATTTGTTTGTCAATTCTTCAGATTTATTGACATTTGTAAATCTTTGATGTGTGTAATACGCATAGCTTAAGAAAAAGTGTAAACGTGGAATAAAATAATTTTTCTGGAAAAACAATTGGCACAGTTCTTTTCGCGAATACAAACTCGAAACTTCCAAGGTCTTTTTCTCAGTGTTTTCTCACTTTTTTGACATGTCGATAAATGCAACTCTTAAACAGTAATTCGACTTTTATTCTCTTTCCTATTACCCGCAAATCTTCATTTCGACCTCTGCCCAGTTCGGTGTCTTTTTTGTCAGAACGTCTAGCTCACATTTATCAACCACCTTATAGGAGGACCAATGCAGGCGATGACAGTACCACCTCATTAATGTCTTCTATTTGTGGTCATCGGATTGCTCCGTATAGTAGGAAGTCCATTGATCTGTATAAATGCTATAGTCTAATAATTGAAATATGTTTTGACACCTTTGTAGGACTGAAACCATAGAAATCTATAAGAAACAAGGCGAACCTAGTAAATCTGGTCCTAGAGCATAAAATAGTTTAATTTAATTGCTTCAGAAATTGCTTTTCCAGGGTAAGCTTTCATGAGTCTGGTCTACACGATAATTTAGCCTAAACGGGATAGTTCTTCACGATAGCACTGCCCGCTTCTCTCCACCAGCCCATGGCTTAGACACAAGTTACGGGGAGTCAGTCAGTCAGTCAGGTGGTGCGAAGAGGTTACCAGCAAGGTCCTCTGGGGCAAGCACAACATAATTTTCGGCCTTGAAGATTGCAGTGAAGTAAGATTCCCAATAAAAACAGTTTCATAAGGGTCAGAGCATGCGGAAAACTCATCGCGATTTCGCAATTCTTCGATCGGTGCCTGTGAACTTCTTTCGGTACAATAGAAAATGATGGGCGGCCGGGGAATGCCAGTATTGGGAAATCTTGTATTTAGAACTTCAAGGAATGCTGGCAGGCACGGAATGTGTATAGTTTGGGGGGGGGGGAAGACTGTTCATTGTCTGGTATTAACACTGCTACATGAAACGAACAGAAAAAAATAACAGCGACATGGAATTTCTGTGCATTCAAACTGTTTAAGGCATCGACTGAGTGGAGTGTTCGCTTGGCACACGTTTAAACATTGATTTCGCAGTTCAAAACACAAGTAAAAAATGTTTTGGATTAAATATCCTGCATTGAATCTAGAGTGCACAAGAGATTGATTCAGAAATGGCTTTTCCACGGTAATCTTCATGATTCTGGTCTACACCATAATTTAACCTAAAACTGGATAATTCTTCCCGGTAGCACTGTCCAGCTCTCTCCCCCAGCCTATTACCAATCTAAGACACAAGTTACACTCAGTGAGGCAGCTAGTCAGTGAGATGGTACAAAGAAGACAATGAGAAGGTGCAGTGGGACAAGCAAACATATTATTTTGTTCGGCCTTGAAGTTTAGAGTTAAGTAAGATTCCCAATAAAGAATGTTTCATTCAGTCAACCTACAAAGTATGCAGAAAATTCATCGCGATTTCGAAATTCTTCGTTCTGTGCCTGTGAAATTTTTTCGGTACAATAGAAAATAATGGGCAGTGGGGAATACCAAATTGCTATGGTGACCTTTTTTGTGTGGCTTAACCTTAAAAAAGTTGTTCGAAATACCGGTGCGAATCTGACAGTCAGAACTTCAAGGACTACTGGCAGGCATGCAATGTGGAGTTTGAATAAAATAACTGTTCAACCGCGACATGGAATTCTGTGCATTGAAAATGTTCTTGGCATGAACTATGTTTTCTTTGTCACATTTAAACACTGATTTCGCATGCAGTCAAAATCACTAGTAAAAAAAACTTTGACAAAATAACCTAAAGTGGGTCTCTTTTGTTCAAAGTATGTGAAAGCTGTTCAAAAACTGTACTTCCTGCGGTAGCAAAAAAAACTTTGTAGTATTCCTTTTCCTGACCTTGTTACTGTTTATATACAATAGAACTACGTTTGGGTATGCCTCACCAGCTTCCAATGTAATTGTCTCGTGTAATTTTAGCAGCATTAATTCATTTAAGGATACTTGTCATCATATTTTGGTGAGCGAGTAGACCAGCTCTGTTTTCATTGTGGTAAGTTTTTTTTTTAATCCAGCATCCACAGAGAGTGGCTTCCCCCATACAAGACACATATATTGCAATTTAAAGAACCTCCACATGCTATGTGGATCATATCGTAATAAATCCAGTCGCGTTCCCTTCTTAACCTGTATCTTGAGTTGCCAGTAGCTTTGCAGTTCCAAAAGGGCCAGCCTAGTGTACCTCTCTGTACCTATCTCACTTACGGACAGTTTGTCATTGTAAGTAAGATTGTCATTTTTACACCAGTTGAAGATTGAAGCCGGGCAGTACTGTCGATTGGATTACCTCGTAACGCCAATGAATGGGCTAAATCGGGCCCATTGTGTTGACGAGATGCAGGAAAAGACTTCCAGTGAATAGCCATTCTAATTCAATTGAAATAGTATATTTCTGACTATGGGACCAGCTTTTCTAGGCCTGCCTAGTCTTGTACTTAATGTTATGAATGTTGTTCATTTGAGGTGCAACATCAGATCGAAAAGCATTCAGTGGACAGTGACAATTTGTAGCAAGTTGAACAAGATTCAACCCAACTAAATTCCCTCGAGACCTACGTCAACAACTTTCCTCGAGTGTAAACGTTAACAACTTCAGACACAAAAGGTCATCTTGACCAGTTGACCTGGTTACCAAATACTGCACAATACAAATTAATAGGAACAGTCAAAATTTCTGACCACTAGATATGTCAAGTTTTAAAAGACAAGTCAAACCTAGCAGAACTTTTTCCACAGCCCACAAA